CCTAGACATGGATGTATTTATGTAATCCCAGTCTGCATTTCCTCTGTGAAGTGGTTGTGTTAATTGTTCTTTACATTGATGTTAAATTTGACACATTTACGACGTCCTGTGTTATTTTGCCCCCGGCTTCTTACATCATTCATTGTTTTTCTTTCCAATGCCAGGCTCACGCTCTGAAAAACACTGCTGGAAAAAAAAAACGAGGTCTATTTCAGTCTGCGGGGGCAGCCCAGTAACAAAAAACACTCAGAAATTAAAACTCACAATTGCCAGAAATATTCTGTTGCTCCTCATGTTGACAACACACAGTTTTAACTCTGCAGGCAATTCAAACAAAGCAGAATGTTTACCTACAGCAATTCCAAATGACCTGAAGACCAAGATGACCTGCAACTATTGACTTCTGACTTATAACTGACCTAAGTAATTGTTTTTATCACTAAATGTCTCTAGTGAACCAATTAAAGAACCCAAATCAGATAGCTATCAAGATGTGCATATAAGGTGGTCTAAAAACATCAGCTGATCACAAAAGGTGAAGCAGAAATACTAACAAATACCAGCAGGGAGACACTGTCACCCCAGTGCTAGTTTACCTCCACTGAGTAGCTGTCTTTTTATGGTAATCTTTATCTGAACGCTGAGTCCATTATGAAATCCTACCAGACATGACTGATGATGCAGTCACACTCAATAAAGGAATTATTTTTTTGCACCAGGGAAAATAGATCAGGATTTTCTGTTCATCATGAACAACAGCTAGTACCACACAGATTACTGCAGTCTTTGTGGAAATGCCAGACAAATAGAAACTATCATACTGTATGTGTGTGTCCACAACTGAAGTGAGGTCTACCGCCTACTGTGGGAAATCCTTCTGTATTACAGTCATTGAGTGGGTGTCACGATAATGAATCAGCTTTGGATGAGATGTTGAAATTTTCAAATTGTCGTGGGAGTTCAGAGTAGATAAACTGAAGTCAAATGTGCTGCCGTGCTGCTCTTCGTCACCTCTGTCAGGTTTAGATGAATCACTCCCTTTTCACAGCGTTCAAATGACTTGTACAACTGGCACAGCAGGTTGAGAAATACAGGGAGTGGGTCTGAATCTGAGACTCAGTCAACTCACGTAACACTGTTCTTAGTTAGTGTTGGTCACTTCTGAATATTTAATAAAATATTATGTTTCTCACTGCAGTTTTAAACAACTCAGAAATTTCCCAGAATTACAGAATTGTCTTAATTTAATTCTTGAAATGTATGGTTGCCTCTTCTGATGATAAACAACTTTGGGCTTGTTTTTTTGTTTTTTTTTTAAATTAATGTCTACAGAAATATATCACGTGGTGAGTTGCATATTTTGGCTTTTTCTTGAAAGTGTAGTTACTTATGCAATCCTTACTCCTTTTTGTCTCCAACCACTTTGTCTTATTGTAAATTCACTACAGCAGAATGACAAAGACGACATGGCCTGCCCCTGTCTGTCTCTGATGTGTTGTTTGGGTAGTTTCTCTCCAGCAACCCCCGTAAACACAGGCAACACCACCTACCTGATAGGTAAGAGAGAAAAAAATAAAGAGAGGGAGAGAGATCAAATATATCAGCCTTTTGGGGAGTGCGTTTTGATTTCTTGTTTCTCTTCACTGGTGAAATATCTTGTAGTTAGTCCAACACATAATAATGGATAATTGTGCTATTACAAAAACTGATCAAAAATGACAAAATACAAACAAACTTTTTTTTTGTTTTGCCTCCTCCTTTCCCGCTGCATATTCATGTGGTCTTTCCCTCTCACTTCTTTCAGCAGTGGCCCCTCAGGCTCTACAGTTGGCTTCACTAACAGCTAACTAAATGGAAAACACATGGATGGTCATTTACTGGCGGATTCCCAGAATTCCTGGCTGTGAGGTCACATAATGCCTAAGTTGTACAGCATGCATGACTTTCTCTGCTAGCCAATGGAAATATGACCTCATGGTCAAGAGCAACCACTGTGGGCTGGATGACGGTTCATGTAGGTCAGGACTATTGAGGTCAAACAGTTCTATGTGATTATTGACAACAACGACTGCACGGTTTATCCTGAGTGGCTTCAGAGCGCCACTTCAGATAAAGACACAGATAGGATGAGAAAAAATGTCACAAAACTTGACTGAAAATGACTTTAAAATGAGCATTGAGGGAAAACCACAGAGACAGAAACTCATGTTTGACTCATTGGTGAGTTCTTTATTACAAACATATTTTAACAACAGATGAATATAAAATAAGTCCTTAGTCAACTTTAAAGTATTTCATTCTGTTTATTGTGTTTTGGAACAAGCAGAACATATTCACTATAATGAACAACACAACAGTACTGTCTCAGCACCAATAATGTACATTATTCGATGATGTCATGCTCAGTGAAACGTGCCTTTAGAGATAGGAAATTGTACGTTACATAAGGAACAATTTAGGAGCGGAGAGTAAATTTGACACAAGGTTCTAATCAGCGAGTGAATAAACCTTTTTGGGAAGAGGACTGGAAGTGAGTCAACCTCTTGACTCTTTTATTGTGAAATCTGTTCGACTACAAGTGTCATGGGGACAAACTAATTCCACCTGGCTGAGTGAGCCTGTTGCATAACAAAAGAGGACAGACATCCCGTCTGCTGACATCGGTCTGAAGGACAATATTAGGACAGATTTAAAGGCACACGCTGTGAAGTTCAGGTGACTCTTTTGTGTGTCATTTGTACTTAACGTAATTAAATGGAAAATTATTTAGGCAATGACGGTACTGTCAGATTTTGACATTGCTATTAAAAATGTACCAAGAAAAGTTTTTTTTATTATTTTAAGTGGCAGGTTTTCTCTACCACACTTTCCTTTTGGGATCACCATGTTTCTCTTTTGCCGTGGTTGTCATTCTACATTGTTCCACAGAATCTTAACCCCTTCATTTTTATTCACCTGGTTAAGTGTTCTTGGCATAGATTTTTTTTTTGAGTCACTATTGCAGCATGAAACTTCACAGTTTCTTTTCCTAATTTTTCCAGTAGCTCTGACTGACTTCACATTCCATGATTTGGATGCAAATCTTTGCTTTGGGTTAACCTGTAACACAGTGTACACAGTTTAAAAACCTCCAATATGTCTCAGAGCAGCGGCAGGAATGTCAATCTCTGCGGGGTCTCAGCAGGGGGCGGTGACACCTGGGGGTGTGGAGCCTGGGCCACAGAGGCTTGTTGGAGTCTCTCTCTCTCTCTCCCTCCCTCTCTTTGCCCCCTATGTGGATCACCTCATCTACCTCTGATTCCATCTTGATTAAACAAGCTGATGTCATATCTTTCTGAGTGTGTGTGTGTGTGTGTGTGTGAGACAGAGTACTCGTTAGCCGCCACTGTGTGATGTAACCACCTCTCTGGTTGGCTCATTGGTGTAACTCTGTTCTTATCAGTTTACACATTCCTGTGGACTTCATATGCTCACAGAGTAAAGAGTGTTGCAGATAAAAAAGCGGTGTCTTTACGTCTGAAACATATATTTTTATCTTGAGAAAAAAAAAATCCCCTATTTATTATAGTTGACCTGCGGTGACCTGATAAATACCAACAAGATGAATGTCTCAGTGTAAATTTTATTTTACTTTGCTTCTGTATTTTTCTCACAAATATGACTTTTGTCCCGCTCACGTTCAGTCGACTGAGATATTTGCTTCATCAGGGGAGAATTTTTTTTCAGACAGAAATGCAGATTCACAGCCTTCCTGCAGGAGTGTCTGCAGTCTGTCCCACTAAAAGTAAACATCTGCTTTGTACTTTTGTTAAGTCCTGTTTACCTCTCAGTAATTGTCCCCAGACAACACACACAAATGTTTAGAAAATATAAAAACTTCATGCCCAGCCAGACAGCAGTTAAAATGTTTAATTGGGCCACTGAATGCAAATTGTCTTTCCTGTGTGGAGAAAACAAAGAAAATTTTGGTTTTGACCCACGCACTGTGGCAGTGACAACCAGCACACCAATAAAAAACAGTGTTTGCACAGCACTTTTCTGCAGCTCTGTACCACAAATGAATTTTTATACAAAGGCTGAAGCTGTAGATGGCAACGACTGTGTTCCCCGTTCTAAAGGCCGAGTGAGTTGATTTAATGTTTATTGTTTTAGATAAATCTGTTCCTACGTTGTCAGTCAAAAATATTTCCACAACCACTCGTAATAATGTTACGTATCCTGTATCAGGATTGCATCTTATAAGATAATATAAGATAAGTAAGTTAAGGTTTGTATTTACTGGGTTTGCTCAGTAGTGTGGAGCTACAGAGCAGACAGGTGGTCATATGTCTCTGACTAAACACTTTCACTTGCTGTTGTGACACAAACCAAATACCAATAGACCAATAGATAAATCACAGCTCTGACCATGTTTTACATCAACAGTATAAAGTATTAAACTTTAGAAGCCTTTGCTTTTGCTGCACTCAGCTATTATAAATAATTTAAATAAATGTAGACAGTGCTGATGTTATGGTTGTTATGATGATCAGTGATGTTGACTGTCATGGGGCTCCTACTGGATCATTCAGCTGTCAGTAGACCGTCAGTTCTGCAGTTGAGGCCCAAGCACAGACTATATAATAGACAATGCTTTGCTGTTGTGAAGGTGAGGCTGTAGAATTAGGTCAGAACTGCTCCAACTATTTTGTTGTAAATCAATTAAAACTTGTTTACCACTTTAACACTCCCCAAACAATCCGAAAGCCTCTGGTGTTTTTCAGACGTTAGGTAATTGTCACTTTTAATATTACAAATTAAACAACCATTTTATTAGCTTTGCCTTTTTATTTAGTGGCAACCACATTATTTCACATACATTTAACTCGCCATAGACAATGCTTAATTACAACTAATTACAAAATGTACACGATGGTAAAGCTATTAGTTAATTTTGTATAGTAACTTGAAGGCGTAGTAGTAGTTTATTTTGAAAATCTCCGGAAGCCACGCGTCACTGTGGAGTTGACGCCTCCCCACGGTTGGAAGCAGCAGCGGCAGCTGACGATATGCTACTCTAATTTTGAGACTCTATGGTCACGGACGGTAATAGCCCGCGCTAAGAGGTTTACTGACCCACTGCTGAGCACTGTGTCTGCCGCCGGATTTTAACACAGCACCGAGGTTATTATTTATCACCGCCAGTCACTGGTGACAGCCCTTCGTACTGCAGGTAAAGTTTTTTCAAGTCTTATCTCTTTAAGCCTTTACTTTACATCGAAGCGGATTTAACTGTGGTCGGTCAGTGGTCAGTGGTCAGTCAGTACTCAGCCCTGTGTCAACCGGTTGAATAGAAACGGTTTTCCATGGTGGCAACAACAAAAGGCCATGTTATTGACCTGTGTTACATGTTGTGAAGAAGTCAACGTGCAGTGTTTTCATGTAGGAAACAAATGGTGTCACATGTATACAAGAAGTCAACGTGCATTGTTTTCATGTAGGAAACAAATGGTGTCACAACCTTTTTAAAGGGATTTTGTGGCGGAAAAAACCCACAGGTACAACTGCTACACCTGTAATATTGAGACGATAATTTCCAACAATCATGCTGTATTATTTATTTTATTTTATTTATTTAGAAATGTCATGAGGTCTTATAGTCAAATAGTAATGCAGCTAAAAAAAAGATCAAGTTAAATTGTATAAAATACAACAAAAATAGGGAATGTTTACCTAAAACACAAGTTTTTGGATAATTAGCATTAGCCAAAAAACACATACTGTAGTTAAAATAACTAAAGTTTGTCTACATGTTTTTTTTCAATACACTATTTTTCCTTCACAATCTTTTCTTTTTGACATATGTGACCCTACTTATCCAACATGATTTCTCTTTAATATGAGAAAATTCAAGCTTATGTTTCACTTACTTTTTCTACATTTAGTTTAGTGACTCATATATACACTGTCAGTGCTGTCTAACCCACTGAGCCATCAATTAGCTTCTCTCTGTTGCCAAAGACAGGAGGTCACCACCCTCAGTGGGGATCTGGTGGCCTGCTGCTTTCACTGACGTTTAATAAGAAATGCCTTTAGCTGCACAGTATGAATGTGTTCTAGGAAAGTTTCAATTTAGGCACAACATTTATGGAACTTAATATTTTAAAGTAGAAGTAGGCCCACTGTTCCCTTAATGTTTACATACATAAACCCCTTCAACTCTGCAAAAAATACTATAAGTAACATAGTATAAGTATAGTGTGGAAACCAACTATTTGTCCCTGAAGATGATAAATGCACTGGGTGACTGATTTCCCAAATCCAATCAGTTTCAATCCTTCAGTCATATCTGACACACTATCTGGTCTTTGGTGTCATCTAAGCTTCAGAAGAAGCTGCTCCTGACATGTTTTGTTTATGCACAGCTCACGTGGACATTTAAATAGATTAACACAGAGATTAATTTTTTATTCAATATCAACTGTAGATTAACCCAGAGATTAATTTTTTATTCAATATCAAATGTTTTAAATTGAGACTAAAATTTATTTCAATTTTTTTTTCTTGTGACAGACCTGTCTGAGTCAAGGGTCTATTATTATGGCCAGCTATACTCACAAGGTGGCTGTCATGCTGCAGTCATGCTCAGCTGTTCATTGAGCAAAAAAATTAAATTTCAGCCTATGTGGACACCCAAAAACCCAACAACAATGTCATTGCCTCACAAATTATTTAAAAGTGGGTAATTAGTAGGTTTTTATTCATTTAAAAAAAGTCAGTAACTTAATCTAGCTAACAGTGTTACCTCCCACCTCCTTTATTATTCTTAATGTTTTAACAGTATCCTCTTAGTTACATTGTTGCCTCCTACTGGCTCTTTTTGCTACTGGTCAATGTGTCCAAACTACTGTTCTGTATGTCAATAATTTAATCACACAATACAATCATTTTCTACAGTCCTTCAAATTACTGCATGCACTACTTTAAAGGGGTAGGTGGGAATTTACTTTCCCAATAATGAAAAGTAATCTAATGTAAAAAAAAAAAGCACACAATAAATATGACATTTTCTTTATTAATGATTGTTCTTCTACAGCTGTAGTTACATAACAGAGGAGGAGGGGGGCATTACTCTTGTAGTTTTGAGTTTCCTTATCACTGAGCTTTAGCAGCAGGCCTTGATCACTTTTTGTTTTCAGATTTTCGGTCACATTCTCCTGCTGTTCTTAATTTTATTGAGTGAAGAACTCCATGACAGATGACTCACCACTGCAGCTGCAAATCACCTCACCACATAGAAATGTGCACTTTTACTCTTAGCTGACAATGTTTAGTCTGAGATAATATGAAATGAACATAATCTGGAAATACTGTGTCCAACATGGTATGGCGAACTTTTAGCATGTTAACATTTTTTTACAGTATTTGTTTTCCACTCCCTCGAGAATCTGAGATTGAGACAATCAGCCATTAAAAGTAGTATGTATTTGTATGTTGAATTTATATCTTTGTATTGGTATATTAACTTTTATAAACATCACATTTATTTTCTGAAAGTGTCTGAGCCACAGGACAGATGGAAAAAGAGTGAAACAACTCTATTTTATAGTTTAAATAAATGGATTACAGCAGAAACCACCAAAAGTTGGTTTTCCATCCATTAACGTGTCTGCTCTGCGCTTTTACTCACAAACCAGGAGAATGCAATGGTAATGGGGAAAATACTTGTGTTGAGGTGTGATGGTGTTTGTCACAGAAGAAGAGTCAGTGATGGCTCACTGCTCCACCTTAGTGGAAACAGTCACCAAATGGAGCCTGAGAGCAGAAACAGATGTCAGATCAACCTCAGTTCTGACTGATTGCATCATGAGCAGTGTCCCAAATCTTAGCTTTGGAACACAGCGGAAAGCTGTATATACCAAAAAACAAAAAACAAAAAACACTGATTCAAGAGTGAAGTTACGTAGGCTGTCAACTACTCACTTTGAATGGTGTTCACTGATTCAAGAGTGAAGTTACGTAGGTCATTTTGACAGTGTCAGACATGTGTAAAAACCCCATATGCTTTTATTTTTTCTCTGCATATGATTCAAATTAGAAAAAGATAATCATGTGATAGCCATTTTGTGGTTTTCACTTATATAAGATCTATATCTGCATCAGTCTGCCATAAAATGGATCACTTCCTGTCTGTAGTGTGGGAGTGTCAGACATGTCAAAACAAAGCTATCAGAGGGAACACAGAGCACTGCAGCAGATAAGAGAATAAATAAACTAAAAACAAATTTTTATCATTCTTTTATGTTGAAAAAGTTTATACTTTTTTTTTAAACCAGTATCTCCATGAAACCTCCCCAGGGTTCAAGATTATGTCTAAAACATTATAAGACATCATCTTAGGATTCAAAGGGACTTTGAATTAACCTGGTAAAGTTAATTAACCCACCTGTACGTTACATATTCATTTAGATAAATGTGAGGTAAATTATACACCAATGATTGTAGTTTTTTAAATATAGCTGTTTGTGAAGGTGGTGGTTGACAGGGAGACCTTGACAGGCACAGATTTATAGTCCAGTGTATCTGTTTTGGAAAAAACTGCTTTTTCAGAAGAGCAGCTGACAGGCAAGTCTTCACTTCGCCCACTCTTTTGCTCTCAGTCAAAGACAGTAAGTCATTACTGAGAAATGAGTCTTTAAAGTGTCAGGCCGCCGGCTCCTCCCTCATGAACCAGTTCCGACTGACTGTTCCAGTTGTGTGTTGTAACTCGCTTTGATGACTTCTGCAAAACACGACTTTGTTCAGAATAAATAGATAATTTCCTTTTAAAATGAATATATTAGCAAGACTGCATAAACAAGGACGAGGTAACATAATTATTATTAACAATATTTATTCTACTAGAAGGGTTTCTTACCCGTAAGAAGTAACTACATTTTTCCATAGTTTAATTAAGAAATCTAACAAACGACACCTTTGAGCAGAAATGCGTCTGTGGACCAACTCATCATTAACACTCCTGTAGCGGCTGCATGTGATATGCTGACTGGACCTCAGTTTTCTATTATCTGTTAGTTGATAGCCACATTTTTACCGAGTTAATGTTAGTTTTGAGGGACTGCACTAAACCTTGCCATCCTCTGAACTTCAGCTCTGTTGTGAAGTCATAAATATTTTCAAAATGTAATTTTGCCTGAGGAGCTCATAATGGACTCCTGCAGAAAATGGACCGGTGTTGGCTCTTTTATCCCAGGTCAGGTTGAACCCCTGGGCCTTGAGTTTGACATGTATGCACTAATGAGTCTTAGCTGCTTGACAGTATTGTATTTCAGTGAAGATGTTACACCAAAATTAGAAACAAGTTAGTAACAACAACAAGGCTTTTACTATCTCAGATGTCCTGGATTTAGAAAATTTTCATTAAAATACTCCAAAATCCTCAGTCCAATCATTGACATTTAAACTGATGTTTCATAACAACAAATGAAAAATAAAATGTCTTTATTATGGTAACAGACTGTGACTATTTAATTAAATGTAGACTTCTGACTTTATTTATTTTCTGTTAAATTATTTTCAAATCAAACAAATTGCTCCTTAGTTCAAATGTTTACTTTTTTTCACCCAGTTTTTTTTCTCTTAAACTTTTCAAATTTGATGAGAACATTTTGCGCATCATCGTGATTTACATTAACTAAATCTTCTGTGTTAGCCTCAGAATAGTAGATAATAAATACTTTTCTTCCCTCTGCTTCACTCGGTCATCTCAGTGACGCCTCATCAAATATGAACCCTGTGTGAACCTTCACAGTTTGGGTCCAGATGCCGTCTTGTTGGTGCTGTGACAGAAAAGAGTCCATTCTGGCTTTGGCTATTTCTGCTGATGTCATTGTCATTAGTCAGGTCAGGAATGTCTGTGATACACACTGTACGGAATATTAACTGATGCTGAAAAGCTCCACTCAAGACAAGTTTTGCTGCAGACACAGTGTCAGTCAAGTACAAACTCAGGATGCCATTTTTGGTGAGTGTCTCATCTGTTTGACGTCAGCCTGTGAGGTCATCTTAAGTTTTTTTTTTTAAAAGGGGCTGATTCGTTACATAGACTTACATAATGGAGAAAATGGAGTGTGTTAAACAAATAGGCATACAGTACAGCGTTACACCAAATGTACTTGATTTGCCAAACTTCAAGCCCTAGTACTAATCTGAGCATCATTCACTTACATTTAGGCATTTAACAGCAACTTACAGGAGGAGGATTCACAGTCAAGCATGGGTTTCCTCTGGGGATTGAACCGAGGACTTTCTGTCCTGTTGATTTCAAAGGCTGCAAATGTTATTGATGTTATATTGAAATGTTTTATTGATGAAGTTTAAACTTTGTAAAAATATCTGTCGGTTTTGGTCTGTTCTAACTGGTTGTCACCTTCAAAGACAGGAATTTCTTTTGTCATTAATATTGGTCAAAAACCACATTTTGTAACAGAAGCTCGGACCCTGGAGATAAAAGGGTGGTCCCCTCACATGTCTAAAGCAAAAATTCCAAAGGCAGATTTTTAGTGATGTGATCACAAGATTCCAGAGGCCTTAGGCGTGGTGTGGCCTCTGTCTTATCCCATAATTCACAGTGTTTGACTTGTAAAAGAGTCTTCAGAGATTGTTTCAGTGATAACAGGCTGACACAAAGCTGCGAGGACCAAAAACCTTTCTGAACCCACAATTTCTGTGCAGTAATTTGTGTCTCCACCAACTATGCAGTGTGCTCTTTGGGAATGCGAGGCCAATATTTCTGGACTGAATCAGTTACTGAGTCAGTTTAAGAGCTGCCTCTTCAGCCACAGGTCACTTTTTCACACAGTTGTGGCTTCAGTCAGACCCCTCCAAGCAAACACTCAAAATTCTTGGTGGCTTTCCAACTTGTAAGTTTTGGCTCACTGAAATGAAGGTTGTAAATCTCATCCTGCCTTTACTCCGCTCTCACGGAGCTTCTTCCTCCTCCCTTCACCTTTGCCCCTTTCATCCCCATGCTTTTCCTTCCTTTCTTTAACATCTATTGATTGTCTTTGTATTTTTCTTCCAGAGTTTTGACATCACTTTCTTGAGAATTCTGGTGAAATCAGACTGAAGGATCAAACTCGTCATCCTTTCATCAGCCCAGTTGCAGACTCCGAGGAGGCCCCATGTTTGCTTGGATATGGCTGTTCTGTGTATGAGAAAAAGACACAGGGAGCTGATCTGAGGTCAAAGTTTTTCTCTCTACCCCCAACCCGAGTCACATGTACATGTGAGGTACCACCCCTGACTCTAATATTCATCTAAGGAAATAAAACAGACCATTCAGTTTGAAGGGGGGAGAGTACAGATATTGTCCCTCTAGGTTGAGCTTTTTAACTGATTTTCCTTTTAGTGAAATTTCAAGTCAGTTTGTCCTACTGGAATTAAAATGCCAGCAAAAACTCCAATTTACCTTAAACCTACAAATCCCAAGAAAGGAAAGAAGTTAAGGCTCCGTGACATTCTGTCAGGCGACATGATCAGCCCCCCGCTGGGCGAGGTCCGTCACAGTGCCCATGTGGGACCTGAGGGGGAAGGAGACATGTTTGGAGATGTGGATTTTCTTCAGGGGAAGATGGACATGTTGCCGTCCTCGGGCCAGACACAAAACAGCCATTCACGCTCACACAGTGTGGTGACGTGTCAGAACAACGAGGGCAACCCTGCAAAACAAGACCCACACAATTACTCCTACAATGGTTACCATTATGAGCAGCCCTCCACAGGCCTGCTTAAGAACACCATCTCCATGCCCGTGTTCATTGCCCATGAACAGGCACCACCCAAACCCCCACGTCTCCACCTGGATGATCCGTCTGCGCCCTGTTTGCCTCCTCAGCAAAACCACCATCAGCGTCACCAGCGGGCTGCAGAGAGGAGATCAAAACAGGCTGATTGCCACAGTCACAAAGAAAAAAATCAGAACCAACAGCTATCTGCTCTGTTGCTTAGTGAAAACGGTTTGTCGGGCCATTTGGGATCAGAGTCCTACGGTGACATCTCAATCTCCCCTGGTCTTCACAGGCTCGTCCCATCCAACGGTTCATTCTCAGAGGTTTCCTCTGAGGACTCCATGTCCGAAACCTGCGGGCCCCTGGAGGTGCCCCGAGGCCTGAGTTTGGACTCTGACATTGGCCTGAGCAACGAGGACCTGCGGAGTGACCGCAGTGATTCTCCCTACGCTACCTTTCATTCTGCTGATCTCACCACACCGTCCAGTGTGTCACGCTCAGAATCTATGATGGGACTTAACCTGGATCTGGGTCCATCCATCCTAGAGGATGTGCTTGGTATCATGGAACGGTACAAGCTGTGAATGAGAATGTTGATGTGATACACAGATATTTTTATACTTGGCTTAATATATGATGAGAAACATCGTGTAGATGTGGTGGAGTGACAAGCGATGGAACATGTAGGGTGGAGAAAAAAGGTCTTCAGAAAAAAAAAGCACAATGGCAGAGTTCAAAGGTAATGAGAGACTCAGAGCTGAGAGGAATGTGGATAATATTGTGGAAGTGCTGGTACGTTTACTGGCAGACATGACAACAGCCCAGGCAGCAGCCTGGGGTCTGAGAGCATATATTATAATATAAAATGACTGAACGGCAGGAAAACAACAAACAAGAAATTCAGGCTTCTTCACGTGCACACTCTCCACTTCTCTCTGTGCACGACGTCAGCTTCTGTCTGTGCACACACTGTCTTGCTCTTTAACTGAAAGGTCAGATCCAAAGGCCTCTGTGGTGGAGAAGTCTTCGAAACAGCAGTGAATATTCAGCAAAAGCAGGACTTGCTTGTTTATGATGGAAACTATTGTTTGCATTTTTGCATCAGAATACACTATATGTTTGTTATTCTAAGGTGAATAAACTGATTGTGCTGTAAGTCAGGCTGCTATACATTTCACTCTTTGAACAAAAGTTTCAATGATAAAAATGAATTGTTGTCTTTCAAAGCAGGATAATGTTGAATGTGAAGAAAATAGTTTTTCTTTTAATATCCTTCTATTTTAAACCTTCAGGTATAAGCTCTTACAGTTTTGGGAACAGCAGCCGAGGACAACAATATTTCCAAAGCCAACAAATGAATGATTAAATTGCAGAGCAAGCGCTACTGTGTTCATCATTTTAAGATGTTAGTCCATTGATAACATTCTTCACTGATGTTTCTTTTTGCCTGTTAAACATTCACTGTCTGCATTATCACAGTAGCCTACTAATCACATTTCATGTATGCTCTAATGTATGTATTTATCAAAAATAAATATTTCTTAAATAAATGCAATAAAAGTAAATGTATTCATTTGTAGTTATTCACTTGTAAAATTGTAAAGAGGCATTGTAATTTAAATTAGTCCAAGTTTCTTTTTTTAAATTATTGCACAGTTGGTTCAGTAGCTACTTTAAATTAAGTTTTAACAGCAATTTTATTTTGATATGATTAGAATGTAGCAGCATTTTGAACAATGATAGACACTATCCAATAATTCCAACGTTCATTTAAATCTTTGGTACAACCTGTGTATGTCCACAGATCTATAATTATATATATATCATAGTACCTACATCAAAGTCAATACAAATGTTTAGCTTAAGCGACCATCTGTGGAACATCTGTCTGGAACATCTGTCTACCTTTTCTACCGGGTTTTGAAAATTTAGTTTCATTAATCCACAGCTACCCTGTGTTCTTAGGAGAAAATTGCTTATAGAATTTTTATTGATTTGTTTTTGCAAGCAGCTGAAAGTGAGACACTTTGGATAAAAACGTTTTAGTGATGATGGACAGGACACTAATACAGTTCCACATTGCCAACATGGCCCCAATAGTAATGCTATACACAAGTAATAAAATTGTGGTTTTGGACACAAATTATTGAAAAAAAAAAGTAGCTAAATACCAAATGACGTTCTACAGTAAATACCAAAGCACACTGAATTAATTGTCATTCCTGACATGGCTCTGTGAGCAACACTAAGGCCTCACAAAGATGCACATATCCATTCCCACCCTGGACTGATGGGCTGAAATCAGGGAAAACAGCGGGGATTTCCGGAAAACACCTACAGCTCTAACTCTGTTCTGTCCACCTATAGATGGTGTCAAACGTCCTGAGTGAGTTCTCATGAGTATACGTTTACATTCATGCACTACGTGAACTCTGGTTCAACCATTGTGAGAACATTTAAAGTTAAAGTATGCTAAAGATGCGAAAGACGTAGACGTAAATCATTTAATCATTTAACCATCATCGTTATCATTATTTAATTATCATAGAGCTTATGTTTATATCAGATAAAATAGTGGCGTGCCAACGGGTTTTAAAGGTTATTTATGTTTTTAGGAAAGTTTTAGGTTTTGATTTTCTTAGATCCTGTCCGCATGAATGTCAGCGCTCTTACACATCCATACAGAGTCGTGTTACTGCCCACTTGTGGCCATACCATAGAACAGCCACAATAACGATAACATAAGAGCGAGCGAGGTATAATAATAATAATAATAATAATAATAATAATAATAATAATAATAATAATAATAATAATAAACGGTAGTATTGTTGATTCATAAGAAATACGATTGACATCCGGATGTGGTAATATGTTTTGGTTTACATTTCTGCCTTTGGCGGCGTCGACTAACGTTGTTCATTGCACTCCATACCAATTGGTGGCAGTGGTGCACCAAAGTATTAGGCTCAACATATTTACGATGACGAAGAAGAAGTAGAGCCATCGAAGAAGAAGTAGAGCCGTCGAAGAAGAAGTAGAGCCATCGAAGAAGAACGAGTTGCAGTGTATTCCATGTTTTCTCTGTTGTGTTTTGTTTGAACATTAAACAAAGTTTTTGACGAGTTTATATAATGTACTGAGACTGTTAAAGAGGAGGAACTGCTGCCACACAGTTATTCAAAATGAAGTGAGTGTTTACATGGACACAGTTTATGGCTTTGTCTATCTTTGTCTATAACCATCTATCGACTTTTAAAGACATTTAAATGAGCATTACATCTGGGTTTTACACCTACACCTGGTAGAGCTGTTTAATTTAAAGTAGCTGTCATAAAATGTACTCGTTTGAGTTTGGACGTTTTGTGTATTGTCACATGGAGCTGTACTAGCATCTACGTTAGCTTAGCTTCTTATACTAGCGTAGCTTCTTACACAGCTGCAGTAAAAAAGCGATAGCTTTTCATCGCTGAAGTAACGCGAAACAAATCGATATGTGCAGGATAAATGTCAGTAATCCAATTTCATACTGAGTAAGATTTGCGGAGGTGTAATCCATACACACGACGAATAGTTTTTATTTTGCTCTGTGCAAGGGTTTCTGGTTTATACGAAGGAAATAATGAACACTATTAAATTTTAATCCAAAGTCCTCCTGTCTGCTTTTACTTTTTCTACGCTCCATTTTTTAATCTACATCATTCGTTGGAAAATCAAAACAAGTGTTGGACAGCCTGTCTTTTAGTCTAATACATAGTCATCATCTGTATGTGGGCAACTATCAGGGTTGTGGGGTATGTCTTTAATGGAAATAAAAGAATACTGAAGGTAAAGTTTAGGGCATTCTGTGATGACTGTTAAAAGATTACTTTTTATTCCAGGCTCAACATTGAAGGTCTGTTGGTGTATTTTCCGTACGACTACATCTATCCTGAGCAGTATTCCTATATGCTGGAGTTGAAGAGGACATTGGATGCAAAGGTAAAACATTTCAGTACATCTGCATAAAGCCATTGATATTTGGGAGATCCTGGGATCCATCAAGTTGCACCAAGGAACCATTTTATTCTGAGCAGCTGTACACACCATTTCTAACTAAATAGACAGACCTAATAAACAATACTGACCGACTTTCACCCAGCAGCTGTTGATGTGGTCAAATGATGCACACTCTGAGTAAAGAACAGGTTAGGGATTCAGTGATTTTTGTTAAACATGTCATGACATGCTTTTTCTCCAGGGTCATGGAGTCTTGGAGATGCCATCAGGAACAGGAAAGACCATTTCTTTGCTCTCTCTCATTGTTGCCTACCAAAGTGTGAGTTAATCTTCATGTCCATCCGTCTATGATTTTTTTTGGTGCTGCTTTGTTGTCTACATCTCTGATTTTCTGCCAGCAAGTGATGCATAAAAAGCCTTATTTGTAAAGTTCTCTCATTTTCAGGCCTTTCCTTTGGAAGTGACCAAATTAATATATTGCTCAAGAACAGTCCCTGAAATTGAGAAAGTGAGTCCGTGGTAATCTCTAACAGCAATCGATGTAGGTAAAACAACCATTTGACTTACTTGAGATATTATCTGATTCCTATAATTAGGTTGTGGAGGAGCTGAGGAAGCTGATGGAATATTATGCTAAGGAAACTGGGGAACGTAACAACTTCTTGGCTCTGGCTCTTTCCTCTCGAAAAAATCTTTGTATTCACCCTGAGGTACAAAAAGTCTATTAGCAGTTTAAATACACTGTTGATGTAATTAACTTCTAAAGCTTGTCTTGTTTTTGTTGTATAGTCATGATTGTTTGGCTTTTCCCTGTTCTCATCAAATACTTTTCCTGACCTGTTTGTACCTTTAACCTCATTCTTATATCCAGGTGAGCGCTCTGCGCTTTGGAAAAGAAGTCGATGGGAAGTGCCACAGTCTGACAGCATCGTACATTCGTTCACAGCGCCACACAGACCCCAACTTACCTCTCTGTTCTTTCTATGAGGTAAGAAGTGACATGTGAATTCTGTTCTCGCAAAGTTGCTCATATTTTTTGTCCACAACTTTTCCTCTGTTGTAATAGGATTAAGGTCTCTCATTGCTATTAAAAACCTGTAACTCATCAGACTCCCATCTGAAGATAAACTTTTTCCCCCCCTGTTGTTTCTTTCTTCTTTTTTTAGGAATTTGATGCAGTCGGACGACAGGTGCCTCTGCCTGCTGGTATCTACAACCTTGACGACCTCAAGGACTTTGGCAAAAGGAAAGGCTGGTGTCCTTACTACCTGGCTCGCTACTCAGTATGTTATACCACTGGAAGGATTCATGTTTGGCAAGGCTGAAAACATGCAATTATTGTCTGTTTTAACTTCAAAACACACTGTTATATTTATCTTTTTTAGATTCTTCATGCTAACATAGTGGTGTACAGCTATCACTATCTGCTGGACCCAAAGATTGCTGACCTTGTGTCCAAAGAGCTTGCTAAGAACTCTGTAGTGGTCTTTGATGAAGCCCATAATATTGGTAAGAAACCGTACTGAGTGAATGAGCCAAGAAAATACAATTATCTGATCTCTGGTATCATGGGAAAAACGCTTTTGATGAGGAATTTTGTAGTTATTTTAACTTCTCTTTTTAGACAATGTATGTATTGACTCCATGAGTGTGAATATCACTAGACGGACACTGGACAGATGCCAGAACAATGTAGACACACTCCAAAACACCATACACAAGTAAGAGACTCTCAGAAATCTGCACAACTGAGACTGTTGACCAGAGTACAATATTTCTTTAAAATAAAATATTTTATCGCTGATTATATATAAACTCGTATGTAATTTTATCTGTATTTTTTTCTCTTGATAGCATTAAAGAGTCGGATGCTGCTAAGCTCAAAGAGGAGTACAGACGACTGGTGGAGGGGCTGAAGGAGGCCAATGTAGCCAGGGAGACAGATGTCTACCTGGCAAACCCGGTCTTACCAGATGAAATTCTTCGAGGTGCAGCCATCCCCAGCATCAGGCATCAAAAACTGATGTTTTTGTACAAATTTCTGTTACATTCATTACTCTGATTCTGCGTTCTTTAGAGGCAGTTCCTGGTTCCATTCGAACAGCTGAACACTTTGTTGGCTTCTTGAAGCGTTTCCTGGAATATCTAAAATCCCGCCTCAGGGTCCAACATGTGGTTCAGGAGAGCGCCCCGCAGTTCCTTAAAGACATCTTTGAAAAAGTCTGCATTGATCGCAAGCCTCTGAGGTTAGTGTTGATTGCGGTGAATGTTTGGTTTAATCAGTCCAACAGAAGTCAACAGTGGAGCTCAGGACTGTGTTTAACTTTCAATTTAGGAGAAATTCTCTGTTCTCTGTAGGTTTTGTGCAGAACGGTTACAGTCATTGCTGCGAACTCTGGAGATTGCTGACATAGCAGACTTCTCAGCTGTTACTCTCATCTCTAACTTTGCTACTCTGGTCAGCACTTACAGCCAAGGTACAGACAATGTTTTCTTATTTCTAATCTATATGATGATAATCATCAGCAGCTCTTCACCAAAAAGTCTTGTGTTTCTAATGATTAAACTGCTGTTATTTTTTTTGGTTATTGAGTTTTGGGTCTTTTCTTTTCATACATAAAAAGTCAAATTGACATCTGTGTTTTTTTTCTTTGTGTCTTAAGGTTTTACTATAATTATTGAACCTTTTGAGGACAGAACTCCAACTATAGCAAACCCTGTGCTACATTTCAGGTCAGATGGAATCTCATTATTACATTGACAATTTTCACAGTGATAATGTTGGTTGTCAGAATGTTAGGCACTAGAGAAACTCAAGATCTGACATGACATGTATTGCATCATTGAAAGTTCATGCCTGAAGAATCCTTATGTAATATTTATAGATTTTATAGATTTTTATTAATGGTGATCAGAATAAACTGTGATTTTTATCTGTGCTTACAGTTTCTCCTCATCTTTTCTCTTCTCAGTTGCATGGATCCTTCTATTGCCATCAAGCCTGTGTTTCAGAGGTTTCAGTCAGTCGTCATCACTTCAGGTGTAAGTTAAACAACACACTCTACTTTTACCTTTGTGCTTATTCATCACATTTTAGTCTTGTCCTCAGTTAGGCTCGGAAAAAAAACATTTTTCCTTCATGCAGTTACCAGGTAACTTTTTGTTTTTTACCAGTATGACTGTGACCAAACCTTATGATTACAAATCTCCTTCTTCTTCCCTGACACATAACAATGGAATTGATTTGGAAGTCAAATATGTCATATTTTTTGTTTGTCCTCAGACTCTCTCACCTCTGGACATTTACCCCAGAATCCTGGACTTTCGCCCAGTTACCATGGCGTCCTTCACCATGACCCTGGCCCGAACCTGCCTCTGCCCTCTGGTGTGTAACAAGTTAAAAAAAAGAGAGCCGCCTATAGTGAATTGTTATTGAAATTGAACAAAATCGGTCTTACTCCTGGCTCTTTCATTGTTTGTCTTCTGTAGATTGTTGGCAGAGGAAACGACCAGGTCACTCTAAGCTCAAAGTTTGAGACCAGAGAAGACATTGGTATGTAATAAAATTCACACCATTGATTTACATTTAAATTTGACAAAAAAAGGTCACTTTTATCCCTTTCTGGTTTAGCTGTAATTCGGAACTATGGAAATCTACTGCTTGAGATGTCTGCCATCGTCCCTGATGGGATTGTGGCATTTTTCACAAGCTACATTTATATGGAGAACATCGTGGCATCATGGTACGAACAGGTCAGTGTTTGAACTCGTACAACCCTCACACTATGTTGTCTCCTTTTGTTGGCTCTCTCGTAAAGATAATAATAAATATTGACTAGTAGAAACACCATTATTTCCAGGGCATTCTTGAGAATATCCAGAGAAACAAGCTGATCTTCATTGAGACTCCGGATGCTGCAGAGACAAGCATGGCGCTGGAGAAATACCAGCAGGTAATTTTTGACTTTTTAAAATACACAAAAAATATCACGTACAGTAAATACACAGTCACCAACATTCCTAGATCTACAACAGTTCTGTCTAGTTTCTCAGTCATTGTAGTTTCACCTCTACTCCAAACGATGTCTTCAGTCCATTTTCCTATTTCTCAACTGCCTCTGGGAAATTTAGAGGAACTTCTGTGTTAAGGAACAGTTCCCTGCCTTAACATTTAAAATTATTGATCTGCAGGCTTGTGAAAATGGAAGAGGGGCAATCCTCCTGTCTGTTGCCAGAGGAAAAGTGTCTGAAGGAATAGATTTTGGTGAGTGATCAGGATGCTGATGCTCTTATGGCATTACACAAACTTTAAAGGAAACTAAAACATTTAACATTCTATTAAACACATTTAAGTCTAATTTTTTTAAGTTTTATAAAATATTAACCACATTTTGTCTTTTTTCTATTCAGTGCATCATTTTGGTCGGGCGGTCATCATGTTCGGAGTCCCTTATGTTTACACACAAAGCCGCATCCTGAAGGTCAGGAACGGCACTGTATCTGAAAATGAATTTGTATTTGTTACTACATTATATGGAATTGGCTGCCATGAAGCTAAAGGAAGCTAAAGGAATCAAACATTCCTCATTCCTCCAACTTACTTTTATGTCACCCTGACCTAATCAGCCCTTTACAAATCATATGTTGGTCATGTGTTTTACAATGTCGTCAGAGCAACTCACTCCAGAGTATCCCTTTTTACATAGCAATTTATATAGGATTATCATGGCAGAATACAGTGTCTGTGATCAGGAACATTACTTAATGGATCTTGGTTCTCCTTTATCTGTGTTGATAATATTCGTAATTCTTGCTAAGGCTCGTCTGGAGTATCTCCGGGACCAGTTTCAGATCAGAGAAAACGACTTCCTCACCTTTGATGCCATGCGTCACGCAGCTCAGTGTGTTGGTCGAGCTCTCAGAGGGAAGACGGACTACGGACTCATGGTTTTTGCTGACAAGGTGTGTGAGCTTCTCTGGTCGGGATGCATTGGCGCATATACAGTATGTGCATGGCAGTGTAGTTGGAGCTAATGATTCATTTCCCTCAGTTTAAAAATCGCTGAATCTCCAACCTTTGTTCTCCTCAGCGTTACGCTCGGGCTGACAAGCGTGGGAAGCTTCCTCGCTGGATTCAGGAACACATCAGCGACGGCAGCCTGAACCTCACCATAGACGAGACTGTGCAGCTCTCCAAACACTTCCTGCGTCAAATGGCTCAGCCTTTCAGACAGGTATCAGTATCAACACTAATTGTTCAGTTTACTCATCTGTGGTCTTTTTATAATTTGTATTACAATCTTTGAAATATATTCATACATCTTGTTAATTGTAAAATCTAAATTAGCCTGCTGCTAATTCATAATATTTAGAAGATGATTTAAAGTATCTTCAGATGTTTATGTACACAGTCATTTTTATTTTGAAAGACATTTAGAGGAAAGACTGGAAATACAACTTTCACACGCCTGTACTAGTGGCATCTTCCATTTTCTGTGTCCAAGTTCCTCGTATTTAACTGTCACTTTCACAGCTCTGACAGCTCCTCTCTGTTTGTCTCTGTCTTCAGGAGGACCAGCTGGGTCTGTCTCTGTTGACTCTGGAGCAGCTGGAGTCGGAGGAAATGCTGAAGAAAATCACTCAGATCGCTCACCAGACTTGACTGTCTGCAGCATCACATCATCACTTAAGTACCAGTCGCTTTAATTACATCAGAAGTGGAATTACATTTGAACATCATGTTTTTGCCAAGAGTGCAGACTTTTAAACTTTCCTGCTTGTTGTTCTCATACTGAACCAGCTTGTTTCTCGGTAGTCTCTCCTTTGACGGTTACACGCCATGTCTGCTCAAAGGCATTTCAGCATCTTGTAGAGTGATTCCTGCAGTGTCACTCTATTACTGTCATCGAGGTATAACACCATAACTGTTTGTTATGGTCAGATCAGATTGAAGAAAAAAGTACAGCATATTAGACTCAAACATTGTGTACTGTCAGTGTACTTCATCAAGTCAATCTCTTCAGAAGAACTTGGCAGCATGTTTTACGACATATTCTGTGTTAAAATGTTACAGTCCAGTACAGCATGTTATAAATATTTTTCCCTCCTTGGGGTAAAACATTCCTAAGTGTCTGTCATACAGACATGACTGCTGTGAGTTTACCACTGCATCTGTACAAAGACATGTTTTATATTGAACATTAATATTTGTATTTTGCCCTTACACAGGCTTTGAAATACATGTTTTTACTTAATGAAGATTTGTGTTTTTCTTCTATTTTAATTTCCATCAATATAATAACAAGGCTGAAAAATACAAGGGAAACAATAGACTATTCCAGTAATTTAATTGACTCAGAACATGACTTCAAGTCTAATTGGTTTGGATATGTAGTTAATTTTCACCCTCTCACCAAAATTACATGCTAAGTTAGAGCAAAAAAAAAATCCCCCAAAAATGTTCTCTAAATGCCCTAATTTTATGAGAAACATGCAGGAAATTATACAATTTTGAAAAATTATTTTACAAAGATATTCATCATTTTTTTAGTTTTTGACAAATAAGACACGAAAAGTCCATATTTTGACAAAAGATTTAATACAAACAGAGAGAAAAACATTTTATAAAAATAAATTTCTAAAAATGTTCTCTATATGCCCTAATTTTATGAGAAACATGCAGGAAAAGATGACATTTTGAAAAATAATTTTACAAAAATGTTCATCAAACTTTTTTCGTTTTTGACCGAAATTAAACAAAAAGCTCACATTTTGACAGAAAATTTTATTAAAACAAATTTTAAAAAATGTTCTCTAAATGCCTTAATTTAATAAGAAACTTGCAGGAAAAGACAACATTTTGAAAAATTATTTTACCAACATTTTCTTCAAATCTTTTTAGTCTTTGTCCAAAAATGACATGAGAAGTTAACATTTTGACAGAACACATATAAAATAAATTTTCTAAAAATGGTCTCTAAGTGCCCTAATGTTGTGAGAAACATGGAGGAAAAGATACAATTTTGAGAAATAATTTTACAAACATTTCTATAATTGTTTTTTAGTTTTTGACCAAAAATGACATAAAAAGTTAACCTTTTGACAAAAAAATTTATGAAAGAAAATTTCTTAAAATGTTTTCTAAATGCCATAATTTTAAAAGATAAAATGCCCAAATTTTGTGAGAAACATGCAGAAAGAGTTAGAATTTTGAGAAATTATTTTACAAAATTGTTTGTCAATCTTTTTAGTTTATCACAAAAAATGACATGAAAAGTTGACATTTTGACAGAAAATTTTATTAAATTTTTTTCTTTCTAAAAACCTTATCTAAATGCCCTAATTTTATGAGAAACATGCACGAAAAGATAAAATAAAAAAAAAGAATTTTTCAAAATGTTTTGTCAAAATGTTTTTGACCAAAAATGATGCGAAAAAAGTTTTATAAAAATAAATTTCTAAA